TCTTCATAACAAAAACATGATAGGATGGGACATTAAAACTTGGACACTAGAGGGAACCAGAAGGAACTAAAGATTCAATTAAAAGAATATTTAAACTTGACTTACTGATACAGAATGGAGCAAAGTAATTTAATATCATATGTATTGAAGAATATTTGTGAACAATGGAGCCAGAAGTTAAGTTTTAAAATGACTGCAATTATAAATAGACTATTTGAAAGATGTTATGGAAGAGAAACCAGATTGGGACTGATTTGAAAGTGGATTTAAAAATAACAGACTACAAGAATGATATGGGGAAAATGCTATGCTGGATATAGAAATAATAATTAAAAGAAATAATAAAATAAAAGAGTTACCTGGGCAATTTTCCTATACTAGATTTACAAAAGAGTCTTGCTAAGCTTTTGAAAGATTTTATGGGAAGGGACAATGAAAATGAAATCTAGTTCTAGGACACTATTTGAAGGAAATAAAGATCAAAATTGTTAAAAGTAATTAGTATAAAGTTGGTTTATCTGATCAAGGTTAAAATAAATAGATTTTATAGATATGCTTAATGGAATTTTGCCAATCCACACCTAATGACAAGATTTTAAAGATTTGTTTATGGATAAGATATGGGAAAAAGAGATAATTTGTATTTTAGGAGAAGGTGGTATGTTACTAAAATATTTATATTTATTGCTATGAAGGGGTGGTCATTTCTTTATATATTTCTTTCCTTTTTCTTTGCTGTATTATTTTTTCCCTTTTCTGTGCTTTCTATTATTCTTTTTTTTTTACTTTGTATTCTTTCTTTTAATTTTTTTATTATTTTATTATTTTTTTATTATTCAAATTTCTCTACCGCCCTTCTCCTTTCGGACTCAGGGTGGTGAACAGCCAAAATAAAACATTTATACATAAAGTACGATTAAAAATAGATTTAAAATAATTAAATTTGGCCCATAGTTTAAAATTTATCAATTTAAAATCCATATCAAAATTTAAAATCAACCATAAAATCATAAAATCAAGAGAGACCGGCTAACTGAAAGAGATGAGTTTTTAGGGCCTGACGAAAAGTCCGGAGGTCGGAGATCACTCGTATCTCTGGGGGTAGATTGTTCCAAAGGGTAGGTGCCACCACGGAGAAGGCTCTCCTCCTGGGGGTCACCAGCCGGCATTGTCTAGCTGACGGCACCCTGAGGAGGCCCCCTCTGTGGGAGCGAACTGGCCGGTGGGAGGCTATTGGTGGCAGAAGGCGGCCCCGTAAGTACCCTGGCCCTAAGCCATGGAGCGCTTTAAATGTGATCACCAACACCTTGAAGCGCACCCGGAAGTCCACCGCGCAGGAGAGGAGTCACATGGGAGCGCCCCGTCGCTCCCATAATCCCCCGCGCAGCCGCATTCTGCACCAGTTGGAGCCTCCGGGTGTACCCCAAGGGGAGCCCCAGGTAGAGAGCGTTACAATAGTCCAGACGAGAGGTGACGAGTGCTTGAGTGACTGTGCGTAGGGAGTCCCGATCCAGAAAGGGGCGCAACTGGCGTATCAGGCGAACCTGATAAAAAGCCCCCCTGGCCACGGCCGTCATATGCCCTTCTAAAGACAGCCGTGCATCCAGGAGGATGCCCAAGTTGCGGGCCCTTTCCGTGGGGGCCAGTGATTTGCCCCCAATAACCAGCGATGGCATCAGCTGGCTATACCGGGACGCCGGCAGCCACAGCCACTCGGTCTTGGAATTGTAGTGTTTAGTAAAATTGTTGCAATGTAGCTTCAAAAAATGTTGTAATGTAGCTGCACCCTTTCCTAGAAACAATCTGGCAGGTAATCCCAGGAAAAGACATGCCTTCAAGATGCTGCAGACCAGTACCATGTTGAAAATCCTGTTTACAAACTTTAATCTTTCCAACTATCAATGGGAAACTGAAATTGAAATGTTACATGCAACTATCCTTAATAAACTATTAACTACAAGAGTGCTTCATTTGAAGAGCTCATGAAGCTATTGCAGAAGACAGTGTCTTGCTAAAAAGTTACATAGCGCAACATAAAGCAGAACATTGGATTCAGATCAAGATTTGTTCTTCATTTCTTTTATGAATATGGAGTTATGGGCTGAGGTTTGATCTACCCATGCAAAACAATGATATAATTTGAAGAGAGTTATCGTAACTGCACTAGTCCAAATCTTGCAGATAGATAAATTGCATCTTCAAAACTCACCTCTGAGTAGAAAAATGACCAAATAGGGAGCAAGAGAGCTTGAACTAGGCAGGAAGAGAGAGAGAGAGAGAGAGAGAGAGAGAGAGAGGCAGAGGCAGTTCTTCCTTGCAATTCCTTCAGAAACATTCAAATGTGGAATTTGTCCATGTGCTCTGAAATGTATTGTCTGTCATAATAAGGGCAGCCATAACCCAACAAAGCAGCTTTCTGGCAACCAGTTAGGGGCATGAGAGTAGGAAAAAGAGCAGCTAAGATCACAGTTGTTGCTCATTAAGTATTAACCTGATATTAACTACGGGACCACTGACTAAGTAAGTTGCACCTTGAAGAATTAATTCAAGCCACTCCTTTCCCATGGTTTAGACCAACACTCCTCAACTTTTTCTTCACCACGGACCCTCTTTAAATATCTTTTATGGTCACAGAGACCCAAGACTTAACTCAAGATTTAAATCATAACATTTCTTCAATCGTTTACAGAATTCCTGTGATGACATTACTCCTCCCTCCCAGTGGTTCATGGACCACAGGTTGAGAACCTCTAGTCTAGACTAATATTGTATAAATAATTTAACAAAGCATAACAAAATAATGAAATAATAAGTGTGCATACTAATGCAAGAAAAGCAAATATGTCAAACAGGTTTATGCATACAAAGAATACTGGAAAAAAAAGGACAGGGTGTTCTGAAGTGTTGTTTGGAAAAAAGAGAACTGACCAAGATGTGGGTAATGCTATTCTTATGCATTTAAAGAGGATGTTGTCTGGAACCTACCTGGAAGGAGTACATGAAATGGGGACAAGTAAAACCAGACATGAAAGGTTTAAAGATGTCGGAACCAGGCCAAGCTTTTGAGAGGGGACAATACTCTGACACTTTGAAGAACAGGTTCTGAAAATGCTTTATGACGGTGTTTTTCTCATATAGCGGTAATATTTTCCCTCAGGTTCATAAAAATCCTTTCACTGTGAATATTCATGCCCAGTACTAGCAAAGAAAGGCAAACATTTTAAAACTTTCTTGAAACATTTTTCCATGCATCTTTTTATTTATTTTAATAAGAACGATCTTTACATATTCAGCTACACCATATAACAGCTACAGATCCCACTCTCATTGTTTAAAATGGTATTGTTTAATTTGTCTTGATAATAGAATATTTAGTACAATTCAAGATGTCATTAAACTTACGAGTCCTCCAATATTCTAGATCAGTGGTGGCAAACCTATGGCACGCGGGCCAGAAGTGGCACACAGGACCCTCTCTGAAGGCATGTGCGCTGTCGCCCCAACTCTGTTTCGGGTCTCTGCCGCGCATGCACGTGCACGTCCCACTGGCCGGCCGGTCTTCAGGTGGTTGGTGGGAGGTGCGCGCGCATGCGCGGCAGAGACTTTCAGTTTAGGTGGGCACGGGCTCATATGCGAGGTGCGCACACATGCATGGGGTGCACACACGCATGTACCCATGCCTTGCAGTTTGGGTGCGCGTGCGCACTTTGGGCACTTGGTGCCTAAAAGGTTCGCCATCACTGTTCTAGGTTGTGAAAAATGAAAAAAAAAAGTGGGATGGGAAGGAAATTCAGATACATAGCCAATTAGCCTGAATAATCAACTGCAAGAAGGTATCTAGACTGAAATTGGGTTTTGATCCTAGTTTTAGCAATAATGTGCAACTTTGTTCAACATTTTAAGCTTTTCTAAGTTAAGTTAAGTTAAGTTTTTCTAATAGCTATTTCCTATCCTCTGAGAGCTTGGACATGGTTAGTAGTTCATTAAAGATGTCATCTTGACACATGTCATTAGAAAATTAAAGAGAATATTAGGATTACAGTTGTTACTATCAATGCTTTTATACAAATCTACAACAAAATATGCACAGTTCTGTTCACTCTCATAAACATATTAGAAGTTTCTGTCTTATGGCTACTATTTAGGATTTAGTTAGAAAAAGAAATATAATACAAGAAACAGGCACTGAAGGCATTAGAAGTCTGCATCATGTTCAGAGAACACAGCCTTTAGGACAATGCATATAGTACTTTTTAAAGAATTTGATGACTCAGAGTGTTATTTTGGTGTTTGACTATAGGTGGACTGAAAAATGTGAATTAATGGCTTTTCATCCTCATAGCTCACAACGTCAATAGAGGCATATCTACTGTGTGTTAATTCATACCCTGGATGACTATGCCAGAAGTATCTGTTGCCTCTTACGTTCCAATTCCAAAAACAGATTGGCTCCTCAAGAAACTCTGTATGCATACCTCTGTTTTCCTGTTTATCTTTTCCATTATCTTACCCAGTCCTGCCTTGCTTTTTGGACATATAAATACGAATGCTGCATTTGCCTGGTGCATCTTCCATAATTGGAGATGCATTGTAATTGGTGATGGGGATTGATATGACTATTCTTGTGAACTGTAAGATCAGGAATCACACAACCTGCTGTCATGATGATCTCTTAGCTGGAGAAACGTCCCAGGAAGCGTCAACTTTGAAGACAAGTGTCTTCATATAGGAGTTGTACTTAGGAAATGTATATTTCTAATTGTATCAATAGAAGCAGAAATTTCTGTTGTCCACGTTCTTCCTAAAACATTATTGTCATTGGAGAAAAACTTGTGATCTTCCTTCACAATCAGATTGCCTTTTTCTATGCAATCCATACATTTCATAATGTAAAGTTAATCGGAAAACTAGAAATTGAATTTCGTAAGCAACAATTTAACTGTGTGGCACAAGGAAAGAACTGTTTAATGGTAGTTTACTGATTACCCCTTTTTTCTTAGGTGCTGAGGAAGTCCTCTTGCTCGCTAGAAGAACGGATCTACGAAGAATTTCCCTGGACATGCCGGACTTCACAGATGTCATTCTGCAAATAGACAATATTAGGCATGCTATTGCAATTGACTATGACCCTGTTGAGGGCTACATATATTGGACAGATGATGATGTCAGAGCTATTCGCCGGGCATTTCTTGATGGATCTGGAGCCCAGACTCTAGTAACAACAGAGATAAATCATCCTGATGGCATTGCAGTAGATTGGGTGGGTAGGAATTTGTATTGGACTGATACTGGTACAGATCGGATTGAAGTTACACGTTTGAATGGGACCTCAAGAAAGATCCTTATTTCAGAAAACTTAGATGAACCTAGAGCAATAGTGCTCAATCCTGTGATGGGGTAAGTCTTGCAAGTATTTGTTCAGTCTTAAAAACTATGGTGGTTGCTCTGCCTTTGCATTTCTATGCTATGGAATATATTACAGGTAGTCCTTGTAGAGCCGTGGGGGCACAGTGGTTAGAATGCAGTATTGCAGGCAAATTCTGCTTACTGCCAGCAGTTTGATTCTCATCGGCTCAAAATTAACTCAGCCTCCCATCCTTCTGACGTTGGTAAAATGAGGACCCAGATTGTTGGGGGCACTATGCTGACTCTGTAAACCGCTTAGAGATGTCAGTAAAGCACTATGAAGTGGTATATTAAGTCTAAGTGCTATTGCTTGATTTAATAACCACAATTGGGACTGGAATTTCCATTGTAAATTGTTGCAGTCATAAGTCAGATCCAATTTTACAGCAATTTTTTTTTTACAATGGTTGTTAAGCAAATCACTGCAGTTGTTAAACAAATCATATGATCATTAAGCAAGTCCAGCATCCCTAATGAACATTTTCCCCTGCTGGAAGTCAGCTAAAAATGATCACATGACCCAGAACCCAGTTGCCAAGATCCCAAATTGCAACCATGTAACCATAGGCGTGGTATGTTGGGCGTAAGAGCAAGTGTAGGTCATAAGTCACTTTTTCCAAGCTGTTGTGACTTTGAACCTTTGTTAAATGAACAGTCATAAGTCGAGGACCATTTGTACTTTAAAAATATAATCTGTTTCGCCATACCATGTTCCAGCGGCAGTGCAACAAAATATGTTTTCTCAAATGCATATTCTTTATTAGTATTTAGTAAATTTGGAATACACAATCATCAGCCTATTTATTCTGGGTAGCAAAGTCCATGATTTTAAATTTTCCTTCCTCAATTAAAGTGTTATTCCTTATAATATTATTATCGTTTTGTATATTTCACAAACTTGAAATCTTTGAATGAATCTTTCTCTTTACTACCAGTTCATGAAAAAGCATCTTGCTGAAAAGCATGCCTTAAAAATGCAATAATATATTTGATAGAATACTTGCGCATTAGAATAACATTGCTGTTCTTCTCCTTCCACAAAAGTTATATGTATTGGACAGACTGGGGCGAAAATCCAAAGATTGAGTCTGCTTATCTGGATGGGTCTGAGAGGAAAGTGCTGGTGAATACATCTCTAGGATGGCCTAATGGTTTGGCATTGGATCTTGAGGAAAACAAACTTTATTGGGGAGATGCAAAGACTGACAAAATTGAGGTAAGTGAGATATTTCCAGATAACTGTGGTTCTGTTCCAGAGAAAACATCTTGATTTGTTTTCCTGTTTTTTGGAAACATTGCATTACCAGGAATAGTTTCTGAAAAGTTTGGGAGAAAAAAGCCCCAATCCCAGCATAAGAATTTGTATTTCATTTTAAAAGGACCCAGCCTGTCCTGACTCAACTGAGAATGAGGAGTGCCTTTTGTCCAGGCAAATACAGAGCTGCACTGTCAGAGGCCAAGACGTAGAGAAATATTAGAGCTGGACTATTAAAATAAGTCAACTTATTGAAAGTTAGGTCTGGAATTCATTATCAAATGACAAACATGGAGAAAACTATTTAAAACAAATAATATTCTCCTTCAGAATTCCCAGAAGAGAATTGTATTGCAGCTTAATTCTGTCTGGGTAATTTATGCATCCTGCTGGAAGTATTTTGTGTTACGTTCAAGGCTTGCTGACTTTATACAATAAAAGTAACTAAATCCAGCAAATATATGATGTAAGTCTTCAGGTTGGGAGTATTAATCTTGAGCATGAGATACTTAAAGGACATATTTCTTTGTGCAGTTACCACAGTGCATCTTCTAAGGCAGAGTATTTTTTTTAATGCACCAGAAACTTTAGGACGTGTTGACAGAATAAAAATCAGAATTCAAAGAGACCAGGCAAGATCTGTAGTGGGGATGCTGGTTGGCCATTTGCTCTGTGCTCTGACTTACCAACTATATTTCTTAAGCACTGTGTTATTTCCTTGGCAAAAATGTAAAAGAATGTATAATAGGTTGTATAATAATGTACTTCAATTAATTGCATGTTGCATTTTTAGCTGTCCGTTGTTTCAGAAAACCAACCTTTTTGTTCCCTTGAGGGGGAGAAATCTACCCAGCACCCCCCCAAAAGCAGGAAAATACTGCTAGATACATAGAAGTGCGTTCCTTAATTATGTGTGTAAAACTTCACATGGCAGAAACAGCAGTTATTCATTCTTGGCAGAAACGTTCCCATCTGCAGCATTCAGCTGTAAATACAAAGGCCTCAGTCACTTCACAAGCCGTTTATATCCTAAAGAAACCATTTGGCGAGCCTTGTCAAACGTTGCGTGACAACAGCCTTTGGGGCTTTCACTGCAAATTTGGCACCCTGTGGTAACATTGTTCCCAGCTCTTAAAAGTTTTTTTTTCCTAACTTGGTTTGGCAGCATGTTTGAAAGGTGGGAGAGAGAGGAGAGAGAGCAAAAAATTGTAGCAGATTTTAGAGAGATATATGGGGAAAGTATCTTGGATTCAGGAGGTGCAGCTGATTTGAAGTGAATGGCGCAAAAGTAAATTGAAAGAAAATTTAAGATTCCATCGGAAAACAGTACATTCCAGGAACAAATTAACGTTGCTTACAAGGTTCCAGCTGAAGGAGAAGCAAAGAGACTCTGACATCTGCCTGCAAAATTGCCTAATTCTCTTTCAAAACCAGTTTTGTGGGTTGTCTTGTCAACATTTGCTTAATGACTGTGTATAATTGCATAATTTAAAAATGTTGACCTATTTGTCTATTTTTAGAAGTGTTTTTCCTAATTTAAATTGCTGTAAAACAACATAGTTAAAAGGTAAAATGTAGCCCATAGAATCACCACTTCTTTCCCCCCCACCCCCCGAAGCTTTGTGATTATTTTCTTCAGAATAAATTCAGAATTTGCACCCAGACATTCTCTAAAGTATTGTGCAGTGATAAACAGTGTCTGTGAGGCATAACATGGGTCACTCGTGTCAGGCCCTTCACCTCTATCTGCAAACCCAACAAAACTCATTGATCCTTCTGGCAACCTGATTCTTCCTACTTTTTCTCCCTATAGTTATTTGACGGATATTGAAGAAACAAAGCCTTTGCTGTGTTTCAGAACAGGCTTTCAAAGTAATGACTTTTATAGGTATTCTAGGTAATTTTTGCATATGAAATTTAAAATGGCGCTTTTAATCTCCAGTTTAGGTCTGAAGGATTTATTTCAATCTTGTAAAAGATAGAAGGATCTTCTAGCATGGTTACTTTTACATATGTAAAATACAAAACGGTCCAGAATTTTAGAACACGTTAACATTTATTTCTCAAAATTTAATTGTATTTTTTGTGTCTTAATTTTGTTTTACATTTTGAAAAAAAAAACCTGATCAAAATCTTACTCAAAACTTGAGTTGCAGGATAAATTCGCCCTCCCATCTCTTGTCTTTAGTTCCCAAAACTAAATTTCTTCGAGCCTGCAACAGTACTAGCAAGGAAAGTGACTGTGTGAGTGGCTTCCTTCATTTGATATTCTAAATACATATTATATGGTATTTTTAATTTGTTAAAATATTTCTTTTGGATCTATAAATAATTTGCTCTTTTCTTACATAAGTAAATCAACTCATATTTAAAAAGAACTGCTGAAAAAATAGCTGTTTTATATTTAAAATTAATGGTGTATTCTTTATCCTACATTAAAATGAACTTTTTATTTTAAAAAAATGGGGCAGGGAGGAAGAGACGGTTGGGAGCCTTGAATAGGGTAACTGACCTTTGACCCATCAGGAGGCGATGTCAGAAGTAAAGCAGTTGCCTTCCCACAGTCAAAGGACAAATGGACGTTGATCATCCTGAATAGTACTGAGTAGCCTGACTTTCAGGGAACCAATTAAAAGACTGCTGTGGCTTGCAACAATACAGTTTCCACACAAGTCTGAAATTCTTCTGATTTTCTTCTTCTTCTGATTGAAATAGAATGTTGGCTTTTTGTCATTTCCTATACATTTGGACCATATTACATAGAAACATTACCATAAAAATATTTAGAACCGACCTTCCACTTAATGTGACTGAAGCTTTGGTAATGCATACATATATCTTACCAAAATCCTTTCCTTAGTGATTATTGTGCTGAATCTTTTGATCTTTCTACATGCTTTGGATTGAGCAGTCTGTGGGGGGTGGGGAAGAAGAGCAGTGGCATGGAATTGGAGAAGAACAGGAAGGAAAACTCACCCTCTGCCCATGGGAGTAAAAAATATGTTTTTCGTGCATAAAGATGGGGACAGGTGCAATTAGAACACATCTTACTTTTTTTTTAATTTGATTTATATGCCGCCCTTCTCCGGAGACTCAGGGCAGCTTACAATGCGTTAAGCAATAGCCTTCATACTTTTGTATATTTTATACAAAGTCAGCTTATTGCCCCCACAAACTGGTTCCTCACTTGTCTTATTATCTTAAAAAGTAAACTTATTAAGAGGAAATCTATTAAAATTTAAGGAATTACAGAAAGACCATTGCACAAAGACAATTAACATGAATCTTGCTTTAAAAGCCAGTTTAGTCTAGAGTTTAAGGCACCAGGCTAGAAAGAGGGAGATCCATGGGTTCTCATCTTGCTTTACCCATGAAAGCCAGCAGAAACAAATGTAAGATCCTACATCTTAAAAGAGAAAAAAAATATGAAAGTCTCAGTATAGTATAGCGAGACTTGAGTTGGCAGTTGTAGAGGGAACTACTGGGTATTTCGTTAGATCGTAAATTGAACATAAGACAGTTTAATAGATAAATGCAACTTTTTAAAGTTAAAAATACTTAACAAAACTCTGGTGTTTAGTTATAGGTTTGGTGGACAAAATGATTTGGTAATGAGACTTCTGAAAGAATTCTAGGTTGATCATTGCAAACTTAAAGTAAATAATTGTTCCACCCCATCCTGCTTTATTCAACTCTATCTCAAATGCTCTGTTGACTTTGGGGCATCAGTTTAGAAAAAATGAGAAGAAGTGCAGAATAAGATGGTGAGGTCAATCAGGAGACCAGAAATGAAGATCCTATGAGGAGAAAGGAATTCTATGAAGGTCCTAATGTCAAGATCTGCTCTCCTCTGTTGTAGAGTTCAGGACATGGAATAGAGGGTTTAAGTTATGGGAAGGCAGATTTCAATTGAATTTTAGCAATTGGTTGATAACAGAAAGAACTTGATGAGGAATCAGTTATCCAGAGAGGTGGCAGGTTCAATGGATTCAGTCAGATGCTAGAGAGGTGTCCTCTTGGAATGCTATAATGTGAATTGCTATACCAATCAGGGAACTGGACTCTAAATTGCCCCTTTCAATGGCACAATTCTATACATTGTCGGGTGTGAGGAAGAGACAAATGATAGCCCAAGCTCTGTGCAAATCATACAGTTTACGTTCTTGTGCCAGGTGTTACTGTATATCCCAAATACATCATCTCATTTGTGCAATGATGTTCATGCACACATCTAATTTTGATATCATCATAGCTTTGTCAGTCTTGGAGGGGGGTGCATTTTCCATTAATTTAGAAAAAGACCTAAGCATTATTTCCTTCATCGTGGATGTTTTGAAATATATAGAATACATACAATTGTACTATAATAAGAAATAGAATGTTTGAAAGTTGAAGCAGCATGTGAAAAATTTGATTTGAATCTCTTCAGGAGTAATGTATGTTTATGCAAAGCACTATTTTAGGATTAATTCCACTCTGTTGGTTACCTGGCTTTAATTTGAAAATTTGCTAACATTTACAGGTATAACTGCCCACTTTACCTGTGTTCTTTAGGTATATTTAGGTTCTGAAATCTGATAGAATTCTGTTTGTCTTAATACTCAGATATTTTTTTTTACAGAGTGTTGTCCACTTTCAGGTGGAATATATATCATTCCTTCTAGATTAGAATATATAACAGTGATCCATTTAGGTTTTTAAGAGCCCTGGTGGCACAGTGATTAAATACAGTATTGCAGGCACTACCTGGAGTTCGATTCGCACCATCTCAAGATCAACTCAGCCTTCTGTTCTTCCAAGGTCGGTAAAATGAGGATCCAACATCGTTGAGGGCAATAGGCAAATAATGCTTAGAAATTGTAAACTGCACAGAGAATGCTGTAAAGCGCTATGGGGTGATGCAGTGGTGAAATCCAATTTTTTTTACTACCAGTTCTGTGGGCGTGGCTTGGTGGGCATGG